TTTCTATTCCTCTTACATTCAACAACATATCTTCTCCCTTCTAATGTACTAAAATCCTGCCAGTTBATCTGCTTACCTTTTGAACAGGCTCCAGCTATGAACTCTCTTTAGCCACTCAATTACTTCTAATCCTTCCAGCAATATTGTACCCTTTTTCGCTTCCCTTACCTTCAGGCTTACCTTCCCCTTGATTCTCATCTCTTCGAACAGGAAGTTTTTTGCTTCTATCTTCAAGGATTTCCTCCACTGACCTGCTTGCATGAACTCCATTTCTCTCCTCTCTTCTCTCCTAAAGGAAGAGCAACTCCATATAACAGTTATGGTTACTGATAAAAAAATGTTAGACTCAGGGATTTTTGAAATAAAAACGAAGAGAGGAAAAAGAACCAAGATGATTTGTATTGATCATGGGGTATGCTACACTAAAGTGTCATGCTTGTTTTGCTTAGTAGGGACTGGTGTATTAGCTGAATAGTGGAACAATGTTTCTTTTATTTTGCAGTACCAATTAGTAGGTTTTTATTAAGTAGCTAACTTATTGCTGCTTTCAGTGATGATCACATGAGAAATGCAATTATCCAAGGAGTTCCAAGGTTGGAAATTTTCAACTCGTGTTTTACCAGTAAATTTGGTCAGTGGGCATTTGGTTTTTGTGGAGGAATATTTGGAAAGGATAATCCAGGCTGCTTTGATAACACTGCACATGCATTGGAGAGCCTGACCTCTCTTGATTTATCAAATAGATGCATCCACAGTTTGTTCAATAAGGTGAGAGATGGTGCCTTCTTTGAGCAGATGGTGTACTCGTTTTGATTTGTGCTGTTATTATTGTTATTGTTGTTGCCTACACAAAGTGCCATAATTCTGCCACAGAGATGGTGTACTCCTATGAATTGGCCAGTGGCCACATATATGTTCCTCCAGTTCACATTCAGCAGTGTGTTCCACCTCTTGTTAGTGTTTCCATGTTAGGTAACTGCCTAACTCAGGGACTTTTCGAGGAAGCCTGCCTCCTGAACGAGAGAGAGAAAAAGAGAGAGAGAGAGAGAGAGAGAGAGAGAGAGAGAGATTGAATTCCCAAAATCAATAATCCTCTTCTGGCTTCCTTTCCTTATTTATAACACATCCGTTACAATTCTGTTATATCAGCCTCTCCACTTGTCCAGTTTGTTATTTAGTTTGTTCTAGTGGTTGGCTGTCAGTTACATTTCTTAAAGGCTGACGTGGCCTTTTCTTGTACACTTGTCTCTCTATTCCCTTTATTTGTGTCTCAACATTCCACAAGTTATATTGGCCGTTGAAAGTTCCAATTTTTCAATATTAAACTTACCTCAGAAAGGGTTCTGGCTATTTTGCAAGGGTTTCTGGACTGAAAAATGCCCTGTTGAAGGTGTCTTGGTCATTCATTTGCCTTCTCTAAACGACCTGAAAGACCAACTCCCTTAGCACTGTTATTTATCAGCAAAAATCAAAGTTTTATTGACGATAGAAAAAGAATCTTAAGCATATAGTTTGGGGAGTGTGCATAGCATCCCTATGGATCTAGCTCATCTAGGTGGATATAGGCTGGTAACCACCACCTAACCTGAGAGTCAATTGATTAAGCTAACCCAACAATATCCAACAATTCGCTGGGCTGGGGTCCTGGGAACTGTTATACAGATGGGGGGGGGGTTGAATTGAGATCCAGCTTTTGTGCATTCCATTATGCACTGAATTCAAAAAGTACTCTTTGCAATATTGATACTGAACAGGATGGAATGGTAGGACAGGATTCATACAGCCAACCCCATACAACTTCCTGGGTTTTTGTAATGCAGCCCAGGAATTTACTGGGGTAAGCATTAGGTTTATTTGGTTAAAAGCTGAACCAAAAGCGGATTAAGGAAATACCGAAATAGCTGAATTGAATTTCTTATTCAGTTAAAACTGAAATTCATTATATATATTGAATGTATTAATATATAATATATATTATGTATTATATTGAATTGTACTATATTATATTATCCTACAATTAAATTCGGTTAATTTGGTTTTTCCAGTTAACTGAATTTTCAAATATGAGAACCTCTGAAACCGACTGAAATACCCTAAAACTGAAATAACCTAATGAAAAACCGAAACTGAAAATTTTGGTTCAGTTTTCTGGTTTCAACCGAAATATGCTCACCCCTAAATGTGGTCATAAGCCTTCTCAATATCAATCTTGCAAAATACACCAAAGAGCTGCTTCTGATTCTTGAGAGTTAATCAGTTCATTTGCTATTAAAACTCCATTCAAAATCTTTATCATGGGATACAAACACATATGGAGGGAGATACAAACACATATGAATATGACTCGGTGTACTTTTTTAAACTAGTGGGGATTAGACCATCCTTTTTTGAACTCAGTAAGGGGGTGGTGGCGAGGAAAAGAAGAAAGGGAGTTGTATCAACCATCCAGACTGAACTGACCCATTAGCACCAGTTGGTAGAATTAGTAAAGTATCCTCTGAGCCATCTTCTTGCTGTTGAACAGTTGGTAGCATCAGTTTACTTTTTCTGTTTGCAAATTCTTACAATGACTGATTTCAGTCATTAACCATCCAAAACCACCACCTTATTATTATTATTATTATTATTTTGAGAAGAAGTAAAATATCAATTCATTAAAAGGAAAAGTACAACCAGAAGCTGTACAATTGAGGTACAAAGATAGCACTCAAACTACAAAACCAATGGGAGATACAAACAGGCTTTTAAAGTCAAAAAGAGAACTGTAAAAAGGAACTGTCGACTTTTAACTGAATCGAAGACCAGGAAAACAGCTTCCCCACAACCTTCTGCCACACTTATTATGTTTGAACATGGATCAGACAAGTAAGTACCGATGGTTTTGTCTATGAAAAACAATTCACTGGGACTATTGATCCAAAAAAAAAAAAAAATCAATGGGACATCTTTCTGACTTTCTCCCTAAATGTCCTTTTTCCACTATCTCAATCTCTCAAAAGCAGTTCACCTATCTATTCCTTATCTCCCTCTATCTGTTTCTCATCCCATTTACCAACACACCTTGACGACGAATTATTTAACAAAAATTGAAATTGACAAATTGTTTAAGAATCAAATGTCCAAAACTACTTGGCCAATGACATCTAGTGACCTTAAGATACATTTGAGAAGAGGCACAAACACAGTGAAAGACAGACAGACACATGAAATACAAGCATAGGCTTCAAAGACATTCCAAAACTTTGGAACTTTTGAAAATTTCCACTCTAACAATCTATATCTGCTCTGCTCTCCAACCGCTTCTGCTTCCGGATGCTTCAGGAATAGATACCTATGATTGCCTGGGTGCATATTGATAAAAAAATGGTTACCTGGATGCATGTTCTAGGGTGCTGTATAGTGTCGAATACTTCAATTTTTAGTAATGTTCCATATCTGGTACTATGTCCATTAGTGCCCTTACAATATTGAGTTACCTAGATAGATACATTATATTTTAACCAGTTCACTGCTGATTCCTCTTCTTTCCCTTTTAATCAGGCATTCTCTGCTACTGAAATGCCATCTCTCTCATACTTGAATCTTCGGGGAAATCCACTGGAGCAGAATTCTGTTAATGACTTACTAAAACTTTTGAAAGAATTTACTTGTTTACAAGCATTGGAGGTATATATTCTGAAACTAACATGGTTGTTCTATACATGTGAAGGAATAACTCATCATATTTAATATTTATTTTATTTTCCAGGTGGATATTCCTGGTCCTCTTGGAGGCGATGCACTTGAAATTCTTCAATCTCTTCCTAATCTTTCTCAGTTGAATGGTGTTAATGCATCAAAAATTATAGAGGCTGGAAAGCATGTAATAGATTCAATGCTTCTGCCACGTATCCCTGAATGGACTGCTAATGAACCTCTAGTTGATCGGGTTATTAATGCTATGTGGTTATATTTGATGACATATAGACTAGCAGACGAGGAAAAGATCGATGAAACATCTGTGTGGTATGGATTTGCTTCTTGACTCTCTTTTCTTTGGGTAATACTATCATCTTGGTTATATTGATGTATGAGGTGTAGGTCAATATAGTATCTAGGCCTGCATGTGTTCTATGTCATGGGTCACATTGTATGCCAGTCCTAGGAAATTCTTATCTCTCTCTCACCATTTATGATTCAACTGCAGCTGGTGGAAAAGAATAAGATCAAAATAACTTAATAAAGGTTAGTCTAAGAAACAATTTTATTAGCTACTTGTAATATAGGAACATTGATAGGAAAGATTATGGGATCATTATAAACAATGAAGAGAAGGATTAATATGGTATGTGTAGAGAAGATTGGCCGAATGACCCATAGGCTGTTTATCCTTTTTTTATCTTTTATGTTCTTTGCTGTAATGGGCCTTAATCTGGGCTTATTTTTTCTTATGTTATGTCTTTTTAATTTTCTGCCCAACTAGGGGCTTCTCTRTAAATTACCAAAGTTTAACTTAATAAAATAGAATTAAGGGTGTAAGAGAAGAGATTAKGTTCGAAAATCTYTCTCTCTGAACCCAAGTTGCCGCCACCTTCTTCTTCTTCTTTTCTCCTCTTGAACTCTGATTTCTGCTACTTTCTTTTGAACTTTTGCATCTTTCTAAATAGTCCTTTCTTCTCAGAATGTTGTTTTTCTTCTTGGTATTAGAGTAGGCTCGCTTTTCCCCTTTTTTCACCTTTTTTTTCCCATACATAGTGTGTATGGAGAACTTAATCGTATGAATAGTTAAAGACACCTATTTCAGCCCAGTCGTTAGTGGTTTCTGGAGAGAATATGACTGGTTTTGTCGTCCCCTTGACAGATTCAAATGTGTTGCCCAAAACCCTAATTTTCTAGAGAAATATGATTGCGGGCCCCATAGGGAGTTTGACCTGGGCGCTCAATGACTGAAGGCTTTCTCATTCTCCTTCTTGAAGATCGAATCAAGTGGATTGGTGTTCTGTGAAGTCTACAAGGAGCGGCTGAATTTTCTTCGTTTCTCCCAGCTTCCGGGTGTGACGCAGATTACTGGTACGGCTGCATAGAGGTTGGCTTACAACACAACTTTTGTTCTGTCTTCATTTGGTGTTTTTCGAAGTTGTTTGAAATCATTTTTGAAGTGTTTAAGAAGATGAACTCCTCAGACTTTGAAAACAAGCATATTGCTGAACCCGGACAGGTTCTGGGAGCCTCTGTAGACTCTCTACTGGCTGTGACCACAGTCAAGCTGGATGGAACTAATTATCTGGCTTGGCCACAATCAGTAAGGATTCATATTTGTAGTAGAGGCAAGTGGGGTTTTATCTCCGGGAGTAAAAAGGCTCCTCCGAAAGATGATCCATCATATGAAAAGTGGATGCAAGGAAATTATACTGTTATTGGGTGGCTTGTGAACTCAATGCAACCACAGATTAGTCAGYACTATTTGTGGATGAATTTAGTAAAGGAAATTTGGGATAGTGTTGCTGAAACCTATTCCCAAAAATTAGATGTGGCCAGGGCTTACAAGTTGAGAAGTGATGTGAAGAATTTGAGACAGGGGGAGAAACCATTAGTTGTATACTTCTCAACACTAAAGTCTTTATGGAAAGAAATAGATTTGATAGAAGCTGTAACTTAGGACACCACTAATGATGGTGAGACCTACAGAAAACTGGTTGAGAGAAACATGGTGTTTGAGTTCTTGACAGGGCTAAATCCAGAGTATGACATTACAAAGCAAAATATTTTATCCAAGGATAGTGTCTCACTGTCTCAAGCATATGCCTTGGTAAGTAGTGAAGAAAGCAGAAGACTTGTCCAGG